TTAGCATTAGCACATCAACTTCTTCTTCACGGATCGTTTTGTGAATGAAAATCATAAAAAAAATTATTTTTTTAATCATGCAGACTCATCACAAAAATATCCAAAATCGAGATCATTCCCAGATTTTTTCATGTTACGCAATGAGAGCTCATGTCTAAAAATATTACTTGTTTTTCGCGCTGATTCTCCAATACACACTGAAAAACTTTCTTCTCATCTTCATCTTCATTTTTTTTCTTCTTTCCCTGACTTCTGTGCATACGACTAGCTATAGACGTATTAAGATATTAAAGTGTGTGTTTGCAGGCACAAGTAAGCAGGCGTAAGTAAGACACTTGAGTATTATAATGATGACGTAATGCCTCGCCATGCCTTTTTTCGAATTGAACAATTCATTATTCGATATTCACTCTTCTTTGCTTGCCTGATTTGATCTACAAAATCATAGTCTGGAAAATTTCCTATCACTTCCATTTTTAACGCGGTTTATTTTGTGGTTTGGAAAATTCGTTTTGAGAATTTTGGAAGTGGATGATTATATTTGAGGTGCCAAATGATTTATTGTGGATACCTGAATGACACAAAGTGTCTTAAGATCATGTAGAATCTAAAAAGAGGACTTAATAGCTAGGGATATATTTATTGGATGATGAAGCTGGAAGAAACTTAAGTTTTAGAATGGAAATCTTAGACACATTCATTTGAGAGCATAACATTTATTTGTCTATCTTTCACTAGTTTTTGTTGATATTTCGGACAGTTTGTCTTCAAAAAATGCAAATAAATAAATAAAATTAAACTAAGTGTCGTCAGACAACCCTCACAGTGCCTCAAACTAGTCCTATATTTATTTATTTGAAGTTCTCCGGTTAAGTATACCATAATGTATCACTCGTTTCTGTAAGATAGTGGTAAAAATACAGAATCAAAGAAAGAGTGACAAAAACGTGGTAATGAACCTTAGTTTGCAATTTCAATGCCTTTCCAGGCTTATATCAAAACTTTGTTACTTCATTTTCATTGAAACGTTCGAGCAATCATAAATTAATTCATTAATTCAGGGTTCAATTCCCAAAATGTCTATATTAAATGAGTAAATAGTTATTCATTTTCTTTTTCATCCACAATCAGCGAAAACTTCGCTTCCATGACTCACACTTGATCATATTTTTCAATTTAATTTTTTCGCTTGACTTCATCCATCCTTTCATCCACTCGAACTTGACAATATTTCGATATCCTATCTTATGTGCAATAAAGTTTATATTTTTATATCCACATATCTATAAAAAGATGAGCACACCGAGAAAAAAAATATTACAGCGCCATCATATTTTTTTAAAATTGAAAAATAGAAGTAAGATCGAGGCATGGCAAAGGCACATGAGAGGTGAAAAATCTCAATTTTCTCAATTTTTTTTACGATAACTGATTGGCTATTAAATGAATTGGAATTGTATTGAAACTACATAATACACACATATAGAGAGAGAAAAGAAGGAATAGATGTGAAAATAGTTGTATTTATAGCCTTTAGAGATTCGCAACAGAAAAAAAAATTTCTTGCTGATTTTGTGGAAAATTGTTTCTCATGACTTATAAAAATAGATTGAAGTCGCTTTTTCTTTCCTTCGTGTGCTGGCAATATTTCACCTAATACGGTGGCGACGGCACATCCACACACATACACAATTCCCTATACTCCAAATCGTATGAATGAGCTTCAGTATTTCATCATTAATGGATATTTTTTGTTTCATTCAATCTCATATTTTTCTTGGCCCCCACGTAAATTTTTAGTTGAACCGCTTGAAAGATGAAAAGAAATTGAATTTTTTTTTTGCCAACTTAACATCCATACATGCAGACAGTGTGGGGAGAAGGAAAAATAAATATCTTTATTGAATGAGCATAAATTGAATGCGATTTTATTCCATGTTTTTCTTGGCCCTATTCAACCCAGCAATGGTTCTATTCCTTTGTGAATATGGTCTTTATTTTTATTTTTCGACAAAAAAAGAACTTTTGTAGATCTGTGCATACATGCTTCTTTCATGTGAATTATGGATATATTTTATTGTAAATGGCTTCTCTCCTCTAGAATATCAGCCAGAAATGTCTTAATGTCTCTATGTATGTTACGTATGAAGACTTACGGCTTACGACAGAATGAGCACAAATTTTCTTTTGAATTGAACACTGAGGAGAAATTAAACAGTGGATTGAGGTGATTTGGAATTTATGAAAGTCTGTTTTGAGTTCTTTGGAAGAGGTAAGGGTTTTTTCGAGGTTATGTGAGAGAATAAGTGAAAAAAATTATTTAAAATTTTAGGTTATGTTGGGTTAGGTGCAATTTTATTCAAGTTTGAGGTTGATTTGAACTTAGTAAAGCTTGAAGTGTCAGCTACCAAATTATTTTAAATGTGAGGTTATGTTGAATTTTGTTTTCAAATTTTGGCGATTCAAGGGTTGTTAAATTTTGAAAGTTTTGATGTTACGTAGTAGATAATACTGAAATTCTTAAAAAAATATGAGGTTATGTTCAAGATAATCTTTTGAATATTGCTAGTTTTAAGGTTATGTGTGCTTTGGCAGAGTTTTAGGTTAAGTTGAGCTGAATTAGAATGAGAGGATTTGAGGTTATGTTTATGATACACTCGAAATTTTAGGAAAATTTGAGGTTATAATAATTGCCATGCTAGCTTTTACGTTCATTTCTGAAAAAACACGTGGTTTTTTTATTTCAAAACCTTAAAATAACTTTAAAAATTCCTTTTAAACCCTCTTAAAAAACAAAATATCCAAAATCAAACCACATCTCAATTTTTTCGACTCATCATCAACTCCTCTATTCAATGCCATCCAAAAAGACATTTTCCTTAGTGTAAAAACAAAATCCAAGAAGATGAAAATAAATTTTCTCATTTTGTAATTTGAAGTAAGAAATTCAATTGACTTGCATTCAATCTTATGCATGGCTTGCAAAATATATACTTTTCTCTTTTCCATCATCATCATCGTCGTTCATACATCTTCCTATTTTTTTTTTCATCAATATATTCTTTCTACTTTTTATAAAAAAAGTTATCTCATAAGAAAAATATCTTCAAACAGACATGATGAAAATTTACTGAAAATTTTAATTGAAAGTTAATTTACCGAGGAATGAAAAAAAAATTGGAAAATTGAAAATTAATTTAATTCAGCTCTCACTTCCAATTCACATAAGTGAAGTTTTTCGGGATGCATTCTTTTAAAATTATATGCAGCACAGAATAAAATGATTATGTAATCAATAGTGTAGGAATTTTTCGCAAAGAATGTGGATGCAGCAAATAAGAAATCTCTGTAGAAATTCAATTTCGATTGGAATTTTTTTTCTTCCTTTTTCATTCCTCCTTTGTATTCAAAAATTGCATTGCGAAGCGATAAATTTCTTTCTCATGCTTCTTTTATGGCACCATGCATATTTTTGATTTCTTTTTTGTGGAGGTTCTTGTTTTTTGAAGGTGTGCTAGCTGGGTGCGTGAATCTGAGATTGATGATGAAAAAGTGAGGTTAAGTTTAAGTACCAGCGAAGATTTTGTGAACTAAGGTCTGTGTTTTGAAGTTTTTGTGTGAAATTTGATTCCAGTTGTGATAAGGAGTCTTGTTTTTGAGTATTGATGAATTTTTCAAGTGCATATCCTATCTAGACATAGTGTCCGTCTAGGTTTCTGCCCCACCCAGGTGTATACTCTTATAAGAGCACATCCAACCCTCAAAACTCAGTTATCAAGATTCGGGAGGAGTATCTTAAATCCAGGACAGGTTAATATAGCTACTCAGGATACACTACCCAAGTCTGAGATATATTACAGACTATAGAACAGAGATTTTTGATTCAAGGGAAAAGAAGATCTAGAATCGAGCCTTGTGATCATTATTTCAAGTTCTGTACAGAAATTGATGATTTTTCAGATTCTAAAAATGTATCTTGAATCAAATATCAAGCTTACTTTATTGTAAGGAGTCATTTGTATAGCTGTATTAGGCTTCTTGTGCTTTAATTCCATTACAACCTAGTTCAAGTACTTAATACTCATTAATTCACAGAAATATCTTCACATACCTCTCAAAAAGCGCCTCAATCTTTACAAAAGCCTCTCAAACTCTTCCTCAAATCGACTACAATGCTACGACAATTCAAAATCAAGCTACAAAATTGCGATGAGAGCAATATGCTATGTGAAGTGATAAAAAAAATCATCTTAGAAACTTTCAATATGTTATCGAATATTGTAAAAATTTAGCTGGCTGCATTCCATGTATCGTAGTCACTCCTATTTTTCTGTTCATGCATGAAATAAAAATCATAAAAGAAGCACCACATGACAGCAAACTTTCATAAGATCGCATTCAATTTGCATGGATTTCTCACAATTTTCATCCGCTGTGCTTCAATTTCCTTCACTCTTTTCATAGTCAATGAATAGAGATTTCCTATCTTAAAGACGAAAACAACAGAATTGGAATCCAATATTCAAGAGTGAATAGCAAAGTGCGACGACCAGACATAGAAATTCTTTCATTTCGTCTTCTTTTTCACCATTCAAATAATATGCAATGACTGTGTGAATGTTGAGCATAAATGCCATATTGAATTGCTTCTTCATGTTTCGAAGGACAAAAAGTCAAAAGACATATAAGCAAGGCAGAATTGAACACATGTGACAAGCCTTGCTACGTCCTCTCATATGGGTGTGTGAGAATCATATGAAGTCATCTCAATTTGAAGGGCATGTACGGGTCACATGTGTAAAAACATTCCAGTTCCAATCTTAGTTTTTATTTATTTGTGCTGTATGTCCTTCAGTTTATTCTTGGCCCTCAAACTTGATATTTTGCTCTTTTTAAGAATAGAACAGAACGGGTCATAGCTAGAAGATGGTCTACATATTTTGATATTTTCAATTGGGGTTGTTCATAAATACGTCTATCATACAATGGAAATTTTAAGGCAACTCCTCACCCATTTTTCAAGCAAATAATGCTAAGCTGTCGAAGTAACAAAGCCCCCTGAATCATGTACGTCATTCTTGAATGACCCCCACTACCATGATGCTCCTTTTTTGCTACATGCACAAAAACAAACATGTGGTTACTGTTTTTCATCTACATTCTATGGCGAGAATTTTTTTTTTTGTGAGCTCTCAGACGGCAACCGTTGAGTGTGAAGCTCATAGCACAGACAGTAATAGTAGTCTGTAAAAAAACATACGGAGCAGTCAAGAGAGTGAAGTGAGAAAGAGGCGAAGAATTTTAATTGTAATTTTCCCAAAAGTATATATCTTGGCCTGATTATTAATTCATGAATTTGCGGCTGCTTCCCTCACTTAAATTTAATTTTATTGGTTTTGGATAATTTTTTTTGCTGCTGCTCCTACTTCATGAGATGAAAATTAACTAGACTTGCCTTAAAGGCACTTTCGAGACGTAAAATATTAACGGTCGTGATGTGAAAAATACCATTAAATATATCGAGAAAATTAATTATTTCGACTTTGTGTAAATATTTAAAGGAAAATTTGTTTAAATGAGCTTTAAAATATATATGTCCGAATGTACTGCCAGTGGGTGCCACATTTTTCAGCAAGACGTTAAACATTATATTTTTTTTTCAACTTCGATCGTTGAACTGACTGCGACTGAGTGATTGAATTATGTGAGTGATAATGATGAAATTCAAAATATTTGGACAAGAAAAAAAAAATTAATCTCAAATTACTTCAACGGTGGTTCATTGTAAAAAACAATTTTAATTGAGATGTGAATTTATTGGTTGTGCTTCCTGTGCTGTGGAATTTTCATTTAATTTGTGAGGCGTGTGTGCATTTTGTTGAAGGTTTATGAAAGTTAATAGCTTAATCATTCTATTGTTACTTGTTGTCCACCGAAGAGCCTCATACAATAAGTAAATGACCTCCTTAAATGCCCTCATCTCAAAAAAATCCTAATAACTAAGATCCACATGAGAATATTTCCTCATAATTCCTTAATTCAAAACACATTTCTCTTATCATTCATTCTCAAGACACCAAATAACAAACATTTTACAGAATTAAAGCATGAAACACAATACATTTCGTATTGTTACGAGCTACATTGTCATATGGACGCCAGATGATGCTTATATTTTTGCACAACAAACAAAAAAAAAGTTACAAAAAAAATCTTTTTTCACATGAAATTATCAGTTTGTGTTGTGGTTGTGATGATTAATGATAAAAACATTTCTTGTTCATTGCTTTTTTTGAGCTTGTAATATTTAATGAATTTTTTTTGTATTTTTGTGAGGGGTTTGGGGGTAGTTTTGTAATGGAATTTGACTATTTTGTGTAGTGTTGTAGTATAAAGAGAGCGGTTTGGGCCAGAGCTTGAAGTCGATGAAATTTTGTATGGAGTCGACTTCGCCATACAAAATCGATGAAAATCTCAAGTCGACTTTGAGCTCTGGTTTGGGGTCAAGACTCAAATATCTTGATTATAGAATTTATTTCGTACCCTTAACTCAAGCGATACATAATAAATGAATGACTTGAACCCAAAAACAGTGTGTTTGGGAAACCAAATGGCTACAAAGGGAAGCCTTGTGTGATTGCTTCTGTAAATTCATTAAATTATCAATTAAAATCTCGAAAATCATAATTGAATTCCTTATTTTAAGATTTGAACCCAAGAACATGCCTTCAAATTCTATTCCTCATCAATCTACAAATCCAGAAACTTTCTCAAATTATCCAATCACTGGAAATATTGTTCACAATTGATATTGATCCACATCTAATATACGAATACAAACTAATAATATTATTCATCAATTTTATACCACACCCCGTAATTTAATAGAAAAACTTTTCATTTTGCAAATCATAAATTGCTTTCGCAAGATTCATCAATTCAGTTCCAGTTTCTCTCAAAAAAGACTTCAAAAAAAGAATGAAACTTAAAAAAAAACAAACAAAAGAAAAACTGATATATTTCTTATTTTTTAACCCCCACCAGACCCCTCTGTTCCTCAGAATATTGTTCATCTCCAATTTTTTATATAAGCCTCAAAAACTTTTCGCATTTTTTATTCTTCTCATTTTATTGCAAATATATTGAAACGTTTTTCATAAATATTTATGAATCTTTTGCCTTTCCTCTGCACACAGATTTTTCATTTTCATGAAGTTATTTACCTCCTTTCAATATTTTATTCTCACTTAAAGCCACAAAAGTTGCATTAACATTTTTTTTATGTACAACAAAAATTCATATGTGCTCATGCCGTAAAAGAAAACCTTTCAATAACATTATTGGAAAGTCTTGCTGTGCTTTCACATGTGCGAATATGCGAGTGCATTATTATAAGTCATGAAAAATCCATAAAAACGGTCTGAGAAATAAATAATAAAAAATATATATGTATATTTGGGAAGAAATAATTGTGGAAGAAACAGAACAGGCAAGAAAAATCTCTTTTTATCTGTTTTGTTTCCAAGAAGATGCAGAATAACAAGAAGGAAAGAATTATGAAGGAAGTAAGGGATGAATGACGCCTTATTATGAGTTTTCAAGGGGATTTGAAGGTGTATGATGGAATTTAATGAAAAAAAAAATCATTAATAACTTTTGGATGTTCAGATTTGACTGCAAACTATGTAATGATTTGTCAGTGTATGATCTAGGATATTAATCCATTTATAGACTTTTCTGCTCGTAGGTAACTTAGAACATTGTAGCATAGTGAGTTGGAAATAGAATTCTGTAATACTGGGTTTAGTTAAGACGTGAGTTTGAATCCTACTAGTGTATCTAGTCAAATAAGATGACTTTTACAGTTCTAGAAATTAATTTGACTGGCTGGTTAGGTTTGTATTTTAAAGCTTTAATTACATTAAATGATTAGAAGTCAAACTAACGTGGTTTCAAAACAAGAAATATAATTTGTAGTAGGATCTTACCCAACTTTAGTTGTATTAAACAAAAATTTCAAATTAAATTCAATTTAAATAATTAGCTTTAGTCCATGATATCTCAACATAGTGTCGCGGCACACTAGTATATCACAAAAAAATTCGAAAAATCTCACAAACCATATGCCGTATACGGTTTTCTTAATGGCTTAGCATCAAGGTGTGTCACCGGCCAAAAAAGTTTGGAAGACACTGTTTTAGACAATAAGTCATCCAAAACCGGTCTCAATAGCTTTTTGGGAATTAAAAACTAGTCACAATCAAATTTTATTCATACTGCAGAGTTTAGTCCATACATAGATTTTATATTCAGAAAGAGGGTCTCTAAGATAATATTAAAAATCGAGCCCTACGGTCTATTTCTATTTCCCACTATCACCCCCCTAAACTCCTGTAAATTCTCATCAAAAACCACAATAAAACACACAAAAAGAACAATTTTCTTACAATTCATCCTCAACAATACCGCAAAACTACTTTAATTAATATCCAAAAGCACACAATAAAAACAAGAATCAAAACAAAAAGAGATGATCTCAATATTAAAAAATTTAATCCCTGCTATATTCGTTATTATTACAGCAATTGCTATGAGCTGTGCATTCACAAAAAAAAGAAGATTCCTCTCTTGCATCCCAATATTCCAATTTTTTAATTTCTTTCTGTTCATTTCAGCGTAAAAAGATTATCTGAAATGAAAGAAACTCGCGGCTTTCATGCCACAAGCATATCTTGCTATGGGATTTAAAATAGCACAACCAAAAAATGTTGCTTGTTTACAGAAAAAGAGAAAATATAAAAAAATTATCATTCCTACTTCTGACTTAAAATAACTGACCGTAAACAAAAATTGCTGTAAAATGCCATTTTAGTTATACAGCTGCAGAGGCACAAGGACCACAAGATGAAACACAGAGCAAGAAAAAAAAATATGGCAATATAAATGGGTAAGTGAACTCGCGCCACAACTGATGATGATGATGATGATGACGACGTGGTGGTGGTAGCAGCGGTATGGGACAGTAAAGTAACAGCTACAAAAGTGAAATTTATGACGGGTTTGTGGTGGAAAATAAATTTTTAATGGTACTTTTGGTGAAGCATATACACACACATTTATAACTCGTATATGCCACGATGAGTGCCATAAATTACATAATTGGATGAGATCACATCAACAACAGGCAGCAGAGGAAATCTAAAAGTGCTTAGAGAGTTCCATGCTTCCTTGCATTCAATAGTAACAAAAAAAATGTTCTCCTTCTTGTTATATCCCCGGCAAAAAATACACACGAATTTATCTAATTTTCGACATTTCACGACGATAAAGGCACAACTAAAGCCAGTCGAGTGCACATGTCGATAAATAAAAAAAAGATGATTTTCGTTGTGTATGGAATGGGGTAGAAGAGAATACTAATCAACATATGGAATGTAAAGAAGTATGGAGCAATCTGGCAAGAGCATCAAAAAGAAAATGATAATCTACATCATAGTGTATTAGTGAATGAAAACCTGGCAAAGCTATGGAAGCTGAATTATTGAGGAAAAATATTTATCAGAAAAATCAACGATGTGTAACTTTTCTTGCTTGCTGTTCATAATAAAAAAAGACATGAGATACAGGAACATTAAATTTGAAATTTAATTCAAGACGTCGCCAATCTTCGGATCATTAATCAGAATGAATAAAGGCAAAGGAAGTTGTAGACATGAGAGATGAAATTATGTATTATGCCCATTCTATACTCGGTACATTAACATAATATCATAAACCTTCCCACCTCAAATCCAACTTCCTTCTTTCTCATCTTTCGCCTCAAGTCTTATCATATACAAAATGGCATGGCAAGGTGAGTAATGTACATTTGCATAAATAATCTTGAAATAAAAATTGTATATTTAAGATGGTAACGGCATGGAAATTTTTTAAGGACATATACAATCGAGTGGCAGATGAGGCATGACAAACTACACGCTGAGGAATTATTTTTTTGTTTTGTGGACTTGATGAGGAGGCAATTGATGAGGCTCAGATGCTGATTTATTGAAATTGATGAGTTTTTTGAAAATAAAATTTAAAGTTAATTTTACTTAAGAAATTGTCAAGTTTTACTTTTACTGCTTTGTACTGCCTTGTTACTGTTGGATAATCATTCCAAGATGTGAATTTAAAATTGAAACTTTAATAAAAATAGTTAAAAAATTATTTCGAATTTTTTGATTGATTCTGATGATATAATTGACTTTCAGGAACATTTTAAATATTTCAGATTGACTGTCTTATTAAATAAAAGGTAGGTCATGATAGGAGCATAGTCAGAAGGACCTCAAGCCCAAGTCCCCTCTTCTTGATATCAAAAATTCAGATTTTCAATTTTTCTCCATATTTTTTATCTGCTTAATTTCGAAGAAATTTCCTCAAACCGTACCTGTAGTAAGATTAAAGCTGCTTAAAATTGAAGCAGGAACTATCAAAATTTCCAGCCACCAATACCAATCTCCATCCAATTCCCACCAGTGTATAATGAGGAACAAAGAACAAGAAGAGTAAAATAAAGAACAAAAAAAAAATTAAATTAAGATAACAAGAATGGATTTGTTTGAGACACACATAGCTCTGGCATCTGAAATTGAAATTTGTGTCCTCACTCATTCAGATATGCCATATACAGCACTAAAGAAAGGCGAAATGAGAAAAGATTTTTTTATCTACCTTTATTTTATACCATCGCCATCATCTCATTGCACATACAAAAGGGAAGAAATGAGCATTGCCAAGAGCACAGAGGTAAGAAGGAAGTAGAGAACAAGAGATGAGGAAAAAAAAGATGAGTTTTGGGGCCATTTGAATTAATGCCAAAAATTAAATGATCCGAGTCTGCTATTAAAAGAAAATGGTCCCAAGAATCATGAAAAATTATTCCCCACTTCACCGTAAGCTCATTTTCCGTCTCTTAAAATGCAATACGGATGGACATTTGTGAGTTCTTTGGAAAGAAAATGGAAATTTTCATTCATTCTACATTTAGTTTTGAGGAGTAAGTGGGTGTAGGAAATTGTTTGTTTTGTGTGATTTTTTTTTTTGTAAAAGAGTAGAATTTGAGGTACAGAATGGTTAGATGGTTGGCTTTTTAGGCTGATTCAGAGACTTGACATAGATATCTCCAGACTAGGAAGGTTTTGCAGTCATTATTATAGTTTTTTTTTGGAAAAATGATCAATCTTGCAGTCTAATGATTCATAGTTCATCGTTTCATCTGCTTTTAAAAGTTTGTGGATCTCTTCTAGACTTAGTGACTTCTTACTCAATTCTTAAACTGACGCTTTAAGCAGGATTTGAACTCGTACTTCAATTACACATTGTTACACATCTTCCTAAAGCTTACAAGAAAGGCTTTTTCTTTGAAAACTGGCTCTTAACCGAATTAGATGCTTTTTGAGCTTCAAGGAGGATTATCCTAATGTTTGTGAGTCCCAGTTTGTAATTAGGTACGAAAACCAAACCATTTTGCAAACTTACCATTTAAACGCACTTCAATAAACTAGAATTTCAGCTCTTGATTGATTTTTGGTGGGAATCGAACCCAAAGTCTTGGTTACAGTATTTCGTTCCCTTGGCTTTAACCACTAAGTCACAGCGGCTTTATATCAGCAATATTTTATTCGCTTACACATGGTTTTATACTCCAAACTCTTTACACTACTCCTAAATAAAATCCCTCAAAATTATCAACTTGATCCTTCAATCTTCGACTCATTAAAATCCACAAATGCACCCCAAACATTCATTCATTCCAACTACCCCACTAACTTTTCTGTTCTGAATGTAGATAAATGGCCTTAACTGGCATTTAAAAAAATACTTGTTTTTTCACCCCCGTCAGCAAAAGTCAGTAATTTCTTTTTCTTGTGAATCAGGCACAATTTTTTTATGATCCACATTTTTTATGACGCAAAAATTATGATAATGTGAGGATGCCCACTTCATTTTTAGGAACAACAATTTATTCCATTCGTTTTCCTTCATTGAATATAATTCTTTTACTGGGTTTATGAACATCCACATTTGTGTGTGTTTGTGTGTGCTGGTGTAATTTGACATGTCACTTCTTGGGTATTACAAATAATGAACATCCGAAGCATCACATTATGAATGTGAAGTAAAATGAAGAAAAAAAAGGACACAGAAGTTTATAATGCAAAAGGATATATTTATGGGATTTTCAGTGCTATTTATGTACACCATATGATGTCAAGGGTTCTATAGAAAATAAACATGACATTACTGCAATCTTTTGGAAATGGCTCTCAGAAATAAATGTGTGGCAACTGAACACATCTCATGAGAGATTGAAATTTAAAGATTTTCTTTCTTCTTCTTCCTGTCTCTCTGTTCTGTTGCCGAGGGTTCCTTTTTTAATTCCTTTTGTAGTCTGTATACTCAAACTACACATACAGATGACAATTTTAAAGGAATTGAATGAAAAACTTTGTTTTGCTGATGCTATTATTTGTTAAATGGATTGCACATGAAATAATGACAAAAATTCGAGGAGCGGGAGTGAAAATCGAGTGGAATTGGGAAGCTTTAGAATGAAATCTTGTGGATTTAAAATCACAAATTATATTCTGAGGGATACGAAGCTTATGTCTCCGCATTTCACCTCAAACAACTGTTAAAGTTAATAGCATCAAGATTCCATTAGTCCATAAATTTAATGACATTACGGTCATAAGTTTATTGAAGCATAAAGTTCACAATAAAATAATTTGATTGTCGTAAACTCCACCCCAACTTAGGCACAAGTTCTCGTAAAGTTTTGAATTACCATTTGAGCATTAAGATTCGAACAATAAATTTGTAAGCTTCAAACCCCTTTAATGCAGCAAATGTAGTTCTTCGTAAATTCTTCGCTTTTTACAAACTTCCTTAGAGCTCCATTGTTGTCATGTATCTTTCTTTAAAAGTTAGCAAACAATACAAGAAAACTAATAAACATCTACATGCATAAGAAGACCTAAGCTTCTACAATTCACCGAAAAACAGTTGTATTCGTTTGAGAACTTTGTTGTGCTTGATGCTGGAGTATTTTTTTTTCGGTGGATGTTTTGCATTTTGTCCTGAATCCATTGTCAATCTGTGGAATTTTGTTGGTTAAGAGAGGAACTATGGCAATCAAAAAGTTTAAGAAGCCAACGCATGGCTTACGAGGAACAATATTTGGTAAAGGGAAGGACCACGTTTTTGTTTTGAACCCAATTTTCTCAACTTTATTACGTCACCAGCTCTAGAGTTCACTTCTTAAGCTTATCATGAAAGTTATTTGAGATCTGCTTTGGATTTGGTTTATTTTATGGTGCCTTAATGGTTTACTCAAGAGGTTTTCATAAGACTTAATTATCTCTAAAGACCATCTCTAAGATGATTAAAATCTTTGACCATGCCATTAACTAGGCTTAAGCATAAGTCAAGATGTTTGTGTCGTGCTTATCAACCCCGACTTAAGTCAGCTGTTAAAGTTTGTTCAAGACACCAATAATGCATCTCAAATGGGATTCGAACCCATGTTCTCTGAGTTTTAATCGCATAATTTTACTACGGTACTATCGGTGTTACTCGGCTTGAAGGTAAAATGTCATATTTAAGCCATAAATTTATCTGTTTTGCCTCATTAATCTCTGATTTGATAATAAGTCTGTAGGATACGCAACATTGAAATCATAAAGATCAAATCATGTTCGCTACAATATGATACCAACACCCTACCACAAAGCTAATGCATCTTCTTCAAAGCTTAATGCGTCCCAATGATCCATCCATCTAAACCAATCTCTAACTCACATTAATTCCTCACTCCCTCCTCAACATCTATCTCTTATTCTTGTATTTCTTTTATATCTCTTTTCCAAGGAATGTCGCTTTAATTTACATTTTAATGGCAACAGCCATGATAAGAGTGGAGAAATATGCTACTACGACTATATGTATAGAACTGAAATGCCATACACAATCTTTTCTACATTATATCGCCATAAGCAATGATATTGTTTTCTTTATAACCTCCTTATTTCTACTTCTTCATTCTTTTAAGCATCATGAAAATTGTTGGCTGCTATCTCTGCTTATTGTTTTGTTCAAGTAGCTTGAGATGTTGATTTTAGTTTTCCTAATGCCTGTCACTGTTATTATTATTGATGTTGACAATTCAGTGTATATGCGTGTGTGTATATATGCTTTATATAACCAGGAGGAGCCCGAAATAGATATAAAAATGACACGTGATTTCCCCCCATTTGAAAATTAATGTCAGTCCTCATTGTCTCTTTTATTTTTTTGTGTGTTCGTTAGAATTGAATTAATTGAGCAATAAAACGAATTATTTCATTTTTATGCTGTCGATGTGTGTGTGTGTCGGTGCTCTTCAATAATTCAATAGGAGAAAAAATAAGTCAAGACGAATTTTTGTGTCATTTATTTCAACACAATCGTACAGCGATAAATTTCAATTTTTTTTTAATGTCACTTTCCAAAAAGTCTCCTCTTGCTTATCGGCATCATCATCAGAAATCAGAAAAATGTGATCTTAATGAAAATGAGTAAAAAGGAAAAAAAACATGACTGAATGTTCACGATTTTTCCATTGTCTATTTTTAGGTGAAAAGAAGTGTCATTAATCTCGTCACCTTTTTTAAGTATCACAAGCTGAAAATTATTGCTTTTTGAGAAAGAAATGTAGGAATGAAGAAGAGGAAAAATAAAGATGTAAATTCCTTTCAGCTATACATTATGACATGAACAGAAATAAAGTTTGTTTGGAAAATGATTGGGAATGGGGAGGATGTGAAGCATTTTTAATTTGGAGCTATTTTTGATTTTATGGTTTTTTCTTTCAGCCTCAGGGTCGTATTCAGAAAATTTTCAAGGATTATGTCAAAGTTTTTAAGTCAAAAAAATCAATGAATGAAGGTTGACTACACTATATGACTAAAATGTGACTATTGAATGATATAAGTACAAAGAATCTTTCTTTTTTTGAAAGAATCGCATTGAGAGACCCCATTTAAAACATTAAGACTGCATGCTGCGTGTCCAATGTCAGAAAATTGATGGGACCCAACTTTTCTTGCAACATACGCATACCATTGAGCTTATGATTGATATTAACTTATATTATGATGTTGAAAGAAGTCAAGTTTCAAAAGTTAAACCTTCTATCCTAATTACAGTCAAATTTTATTTCTTAGCAAGAATTAAAAATCGATGGACTAGATTGTGGTCTCAGGTAACACTCTCGAATGGCACAAGTCGGTTAATCGATCAGAAATCCTGGAGCAAGCCGGTGTGACTCTGACATGGTGATGAATTTAAATCTAAGCCAGCACCAAGCTAGAGTCATGCCAGATTGGCATCGGATTTCTATTCGATTGACCGACTTGTACCATTCGGAACTATAAAGTGGCTCTTGATCACAATTCTATACAATAATTAATAAATCAATCTCTAATGGGAATTGAACTCAGATCCTTAGAATAATGAAACCTTAATCTTGCATTAACAGTAAGTAAGTAAAGTAAGTAACCCCTTGCATTGACAGATTCGACAACATATTACTCGATACCTCAGATTCAATATAGTCCAGATAGCATTAATATTTATCATAAGATATTGACAAAATGCATCAAAATTCTCGACAACTTTTTCTTTAAACCAGCAGCACGAACATTTATGAAGCTCAGCACTAAGAAGAAGAAGAAAAAAAATCTCGTCCCTTCTTATTTACATAGTCAATTCCATAGTGACTGACTAGATACTTAAAGATACGTAGGTAATTATTTATAGAAAAGAAACAACATCGTCGCTACTACACTTATACAGTATTTGTTTCAGGAAATTCTTTTCATATTCCGTTCCAGAATTAATAGAAAATTATTTTCGTCGAACGAGACTCTCATAAAAAATGATGTTCCATCGTCGTCGAGGGAGATGAGCATAATTCAATATGGTAAATAAAGAAATAGAAAAGAGTTTATATCATTAAATTAATTTTATATAGAAAAATCTTATGATACTTCAAACAAATTCTTCTTATTTTTTTTTCATTTACTTTTTTTTATGTAATTTGATGCATCCGTTCCTTCCTCTATTCTATTATGGAAAATTACTTTTCATTCAATTTCATAAAGTCGAGTTTACTTTAGCGTGTAATGAGAGTTTTCAATTGAATCATTGAAAATTCTATGCTTGTGTATTGCTTATTGCATGCTTTGGCTGCTGATGATGCTCTCCACTTGCTAACCTAAAGGAATAAGCATTCTTTTGCAATGAGCATTTTTATTTTCTTTGATAAATATTTTTTTTTATGAATTGGTTGAGTGGAGAAGATCAGAGAATAACCTTTTTGACTTGAAATGACTTCGAGCTTAACGGTTGTTCCGGAGATGTTGGGGCGGATGTTTGTACTTGTTTTGTTGCACATTGGTTTGCTTAGTGAAAGGATTAATGGAGGTTTCAGTAAACTCTACTATGTTGTCGCTTATGATTGCTTCTTTTGACTTTCAGAATTATTGTCGGATCAAAAAGTTGGTTTATTGGGAAATAAAGACGAAAATATTTTATTATTTTATATTTTTAGGATCCAGAACAATAAACCAAATTTTTACAAACTTACTTTTTTGGCTGGTACGCACGTGGGCCCATTGTCGCGCTTAGAGATCGTCTAAAGACTGCTCTATTCTTTGAAACCTTCTGCTAGTTCGGGATTTTAAGGACTCCAGCGTCCTTTCCAAAATATCCAATCCAGGAATTATTCGTTCTTAATCGGCACAAAGTCTGCTACTGTTATTTTTAATTCCTGGGTATCTTGTGTGCATCTGAATACATGTCCAGCAAATCTCAATTCAGGCCAAAGCGTGGAAGCTCAGGATTAATCCTGAAAAAAATGAAAATGTGAAATCCTTTTTGAATCCCTGATGCATGTGATGAAAAGTTTCAGGATTTAAAAGACATTTCACATTTCCATATTAATTGGCTTAGAGATTTTTAAAAGACTCTTTGGATTTTTCAGGATTAATCCTGAGTTTTCAAGCGTTGATTCAGACCAAATGTATTAAGATCCAGTTATCATCCAGACTAGCTCTGTCCAAGATAATAAGATCCAAAACTTTCATAACAATTCCAGCAAGATTTAGTTCAAAAAATGTTAAACTTAAACTTAAATGCGCTCCATCGACAACTATCCAATGCCAATACCACTCTCAACTCTTCCTCATAACATCGACAACAGAGCAGATAGTGTACTTAATTTTATCGAAAGAGGATGATTTTTTTTCATATTCTCGTAAGAGTAAAATCCTCTTAATTCTCATTTGAGCAAAACAGTCAGTGAATTTAAAGAATAAAAAAAATGATAAGAAGAAAAACTTTTTTTTTATATTTTTCTCAAATTTCAATTTGATGCTGAAGTAAAGGAAGTAAAAAAAATTGTTGAAAGCTGCATACAATGTATGCACATAAAAGTTTCCTTCTCATCTATTTTCTTTTCTTTTCCAGTTTCCTAGTGAATTTAAATTGGATTTTAGTTGCATACAATTTTTACTTTTACATGTGCAGACACATATGATAGATGAAAGTATGCAGAACTAAGGATGTCTAGCTGTAAGAGAAAGTTGAGCACTCTTTTAATAATTTTTATAAAATTTATCATCCTTACATGACTTAAAAATAAATTTTCAATTTTCAACTTTATTCTCGGTTAATGAATTAATATGAGATTTTTGTCATGAATGTGTTATTAGTTACTCTATTGCTGTAGGACGTGTTGTTGTCAACTTAAGTTACCAATTTTTGTAATGTCTTTCATTTTACAAAATTTATGATGATGAAATTTTAATGATGTATAGCGAATAATTAATAATGAGCTTGTGGTTTGTGGAAAATATGAGACATGAAAGTTTCTATTTTTGAAGATAGTCGTTGCTGAGTTTTCTGATAAGTTAAAGCTTTAGATTCGTTAATTTTTAAATTATGTTGATGAAGAGGTCCATAGAAGTGCTCGTGTGTGACCCACGCAGATTTTTTACCATCCAGATTGAATTTATCGTAAATTGAAGCTTAGTTTTAAAGAAAGTATTAAGTTATGAACCGTGTGGTCAAAGTTAAGTACTGTAATAATCAAGTTTAGACCCTATTGGAGATTCCTGGTAAAGCTACATAAATGATAATACCAAAGACACTGTAAACAGAAGAAAATAGTTTAAATTGATATTCTGTTAAGCGTTTTATTTAACTCTGATGGGTCATTGGTAAAAGTATGGGCTGAGATGCTAACGGTCATTTTTCAAAAAAGAACAATGGAGTTCCTGGAATTTCTATTGTTCTTTTCTTGTAGACCCCCCCCCCCCCCCCCCTGGACGTCATAAGTGAACAGCCTATTAAGTACCTTAATAAGTTCTATAATTATCAAAACTAAGTTTAAACAGTCCCCAAGTCTAGTATTTGTTCATTCTAAGATTAGTGACTTGCTAGATCAATGGTTCTCAAACATTTCAGATCACGATGAACTAGCCTCTAGATCTTGTGTTAATTAAGGACGTAAAGCTGATTCAAATGATCGAAATTGTTTAAAACCTATTATAAAATATTATTATTATTATTATAAATCTGCATTCTTGAATTAAATTTTGTGTGTCACGGAGAACAGTTTGAGAAGCACTGATGCATCTACTGATCTTGCTAAACCACACTTCGTCTACGATAAGGAAGAGAACTTGCAATTAATTCAAATTCCAGCAATAACAGTCATAAATAATCATCAACTCATCACCATCCCATGTCTCATTATTTACTCAAATGCTTTTAATAAAGCCCAACACAAAAGTAGTTGAATTAAAAGTTTACCAGCCATCAAGTGATTTCTTTCATCTTTACATATCTTATTCCACCAGAAAGCAGAGGCATTTCCATAGAGGATAAGAAAGTTTAAATTAAAAGTATAATATAATGCATATACCATACAAGGAAGATGAGCAAGAACAAAAAAAATT